TGGGCAAAACTACAAAACAGTGAAATAAAAGTTTTAAAAGGTCAAACAGTTTGGTTTTTATGATTGGACAGCAGGAGTTGCAGCTGCGAGGGTGATGACTTTGACTGAGTGCTTGCCCCTAAGTATCCTGATCCTCATAGCTTCTTCCTCATCCCACTTTTGAACCTGAAGTTTCCCTGCTTCATCATATTTTAAGTGGCTGTCTGGGTACAGGGTCTCAAAGAGAATCTGAATGGGGAGGGAGGCAGTGGGGGTGTTTCTGATTTGTTGTTTGAAAATGTGTTAGTTAGAAGGTCAGGGACTGTCTGTGTTCACCCCATGGGATTGAGGAAAAAATAACTCACTGCTAACGATTAAGACTTTCATTTCCATATCCTCAGCTTTTCCTTCTCCTTGTTGTATTCGAACAACACTTTTCTAAAATTAATCAACTTTAACTCAGATTAATGTTTTTACAATGTTAAATTTTGGAATGGGTATTCTAGGAATTTAGATAAGATTTTAAAGTCACTTACTTTGATAGTTTACTGAGTCTTTGAATCTTTCTTTTTTACAAAGCAGATTCTAATTAATGTAAAGAAGATATTTGTTGAGATAAAATGAAATATGTTGTTTTAATTTCATTTGACAGCAAAATTTCTACATGGTTTGGTATCTGTAGAGTTAAAAATGTTTCAGCATGGTGAGAAAGGTTACATTTTCCCATTTATAGTTACAGACAGAAAAACAGAACTGTAGTGCATGGTTGCCATGGCAATGCACTTCTCAATCAGGATATTTTTTCTGCCTTCAACTCTACCAATCAGCTAACCGGCAGTGGAAACCACTGAAGGAGAAGAGGTTGAAACGAATATGGGTGAGAAATCATGAAATCCTGAGCAAGCATTTAATTACATGGTAATTTTCCTAGGTGTGTTTTCACTTTTATCGGTCGCATATTTTCTTCTCTATCTTGGAAAATGAAACCACACGCACAAAAAAACACAGTTTTTTTTGTTGTCCACAGTGGCTTCATTGGCTGACCCTGAATTAGTGAGTGACACCACAAATATTCATGTTGTCTATTAAACAACTACATGATAAAAGTTCAAGTAGCCACAGGGGCTGATGTGTCAACAGAGATTTACCAGCAAGGTCCTTAGTGAGCCCGGAAGAGTGGTTTCTGTGAATGAATGGTGGTGGGAGCAGAAAATGGAGTTGGAAAGTATCAAGAGTGGTTTCTGTGAATGAATGGTGGTGGGAGCAGAAAATGGAGTTGGAAAGTACCAAGTTCTTCCAAGAACTTTGGGTATGCGGAAAGATGGGGTGCCAATGGGACAGATCTGTAAGATGAGACTATTAAGTTTATGGAGGCTATTTTTTAAGATGCAAAGATCTGGATATAGAAAGGAGGCAAACCAGTGAAGCAGGGTTTGATCAGAAAGGTATTAGAAAAGACAGATGAATGAACTGAGGAACAGCTACTAGAAAGCTAAAAGTTTGATTTAGGTTGGTTAAAATGAAAAGAAACTATAGATTCTGGTGGTATTTGGTTGGAAGATTTCAGAGGAAATCATCTCATTGACATAGGTCATTCAAAACACTGGCTGATTGTTTCCCTTCCCAGCAAGGCAGCAAGGGAAGGAAGAGATCAGAGAACTCTTGCATACTGATGATGAAGGGCTACCTTAAAATCATCTAGAAAAGGGATTATGTAAGTGCAAACTTTACCTTTTACACCTCACTATCATGAGTTACAGTTTATCTCCTATTTATCAAAAAAGGGGACAAGAGCTTTCAAAGATATTCAACTTTAAACTCCAAAATTTTATCTGATCATCCAGGTCTTAAGTCTTTCATTTTAAGATTCATGTATATCATAAATAAAACACTTCTCTTAGGAAGCTGATATTTTGCCTTTAACTATAAACTATGGTATTTTAGAAAATTATATTAACTATAGATAGATTACATTAGATGTAATTATAGATGTAGAAATAAATTTAAACACAGATTTACACAGTCATTGGTGTAGACAGACACACATATATACCTAAAGGGATGTTACCATGGGTTCTTCTGTTGATAAAAAAAGCTGAGACCTTTTGGTGTACAGCTTATTTAGTGTCTATAATCAATTTTAATCCAAACATACCAACACAAGTGTTCAATCTAAACACAGCTAAGTTTGATTTCCTCCACACTGCATAAGTCAAGACAGGAACAACTGAGGAATTGGGTGATCCTTGGTATCAAAAGCTACAACAAAATCAAAGGGGTGGACGGGAGAACAGGAAAAGGACTCTCTCCTGTCATGATTTGGAACATGGCGGCCTTTTCAAGAGTGTGGCACAGACAGGAATATGGGGAGAAAATGAAGTCTCTGGGAAAGATTAGGTGATAGAAAAATGAAGATGCATAAAATGAAGAGCAGAAAAGAAAACAGAGATATCAGCATTAAAGGAAAAAAATGTTTGTAAAAGATAGGAAGGGAGAGAAAATGGAGAAGACAAAGAGTACATGTGAAAGATGAAAGAAAATAAGGTGAGTATTGTATTAGCTAGCGTTAAACATCATTGTTCCCATTTTATCTGTTTTTGACCTCTCTTCACTTTCTTTTGGTCTCCTAAGGGGACAAAGATTTCATTTGGAAGACTTTGTTTCCTTTTGTCATTTAATAATTGCTTCTATTTTTCAGCTTTTACTAAAAAGGCAATTTCTCAGCTCTTGGAATGCATTGGCATTAAAGGTGAGAAACAGAAGGTACACTTTGAGCTCTTCCAAAGAAAAGCACTTAATAAATCAAAGCCATTGCTATTTTGTTATTATTCTCTTCCTCTGAAAACTTGGCATGACATTAGCTTTGATCCTCAAAGAGATGTCTCCCAGTTTAGCCATTATATTAATAATCTGTGACTCTAAAAAAAGGAATGGATAACTAATTTGATCAACCAAGTCCAATCATCTTTTTTTCCTTAGTTCTGGTGCTATGGATATGAGCCAGGAATCAGAAATAGGAGTATTGTGACTCATTTTATCTTTCATGTAAATCACATCCAGCAATGCATAAATTCTAAGGGCATTTAGCCAAGGACTGTCAGTTCTGTGCAAGCAGAGATTCACAAGCTGAAAGCATGGGATGTTAACTCATGAATAACCCTTCCATATTTTTACACATATATAACCACCTATTATAGTGTTACTTTACATTAATATTAGAATAATTAGGAGAGGATAAAAATAAGAATTTATTTTGAAATAAATAATAAATATTTCCAAGTATATCAGGTATTATCTTGCAAAATAAAATTGAATGAGTCTTATAATCCCTGGAAACAATAGTAACTAGAAAAACTCCTATTTATTATTTTCCCCACTTAGGTATTTCCGTGAAAGACAACACCCATGAGAATATCTGATAACAGATTGAAGGGAAATAAGGTTTTAAACTAGAAGTATAATCCAGTCTTGGCAGTTCATATGATTGGAAGACTACTCATCTGTAGATGAGTAGATTTAAAAAGAAAACATTTTATCAGAAGGTGGATATAATTCCAAGTTGTGATTGTTCAATGTTCAATAATTATATATATAATAGTATATATCTGTATATATGAATATACAGCTGCAATAATAATGGTGAAAAAAAGCAATCAAGTAAATTATGTCTATTACTTAACCAAAATTCATTTATGTCCCTATAGATAAAACCTAAATTATAATAAAGGCCATTTATTTCCAAATATTATTTGGAAATAAAAAAGGAGATATTAAAGCCTACATAGCAGATGAAAATTTTAGGAAGTATAACACTCTAATAACAAGCATGCCATTTAATAATGGCTCTCTTTTCCAATCGTTGACTTGGAAAAATTGGTGTCATTGAAACATGGAAATATAGGTGAAAATATTCTAGGGGCTGATTACATGAAAATAATTTTGGATACCCTAAAGCTAAAACAAATGGAAGACCTATTTTTCCTCCTGTGTTAGAGATGACAGAGGTTATAGAAGTTCTACACTGTATCTGCTTCTTTGAAGATTAGAGGGTAGAATCCATGTTTTGTTCCTTCATCCATCCATCCCAAGATCCTAGAACAATATCTGACACACAATAATCACTTATTAAATATTTATTAAATTGTTGCTGACCTTCCCAACATGGTGTCCTCCACAGAGTCTATAATTTTGTTAATATTATTGCTTTCAGCAAAAAATAGAAATAGAAGATACCCATCTATCTGTAAAGTTTGCAAGGATATGGCTAAACATATCCACACGTATCTGGTCATCTGGGTCAATCATGGCCTTGAAGGAGTGTGCACTGGGAACCCACGTTGGAACCTCACTGGCTCTTGGCAACTCTGCTCCTTTATGGACTGAATTTTGTTCCCCGAAATTCATATACATTGAAGTCTTAACCCACAGTGACGATTGTGACCTTATTTGAAAAGGGTCATTGCAGATATAATTAAATAGATTAGGATGAGATCACAGTACGTGCCCACCATAAGACTGACTGATGTCTTCAGAAGAAGGGAAAATTTGGACACAGACACACCAGTGGGGAGAATGCCATATAAAGAAGGCACAGATTGGGAACACAAACTTACACAAACTAAGGAATGTCAAAAACTTCCTGGAAACCACCAGCAGCTAGGAGAGAGTGTGGAGCAGATTCTCTATAGCCTCTTAAAGGAACCAACCCTTGGACATCTTGGTCTTGGACTTTTAGCTTCTGAAAACAATAAATTTCTGATAAGCACACAGGTTGTGGTACTTCATTATGGCAGTCTATAGCAAACCTAGAGAGCTACATACTTATCCTCACAGCTTTTCATGTTTCCTACCAGGGACACGTGTACCTTGACCTCACTCCCGCTGGACACTGTCTTGTTCAGCACTCAGAGTTCACAAAATTGCCTCCAATTTATTCTAATGATTTGCAATTATATGCTGTCAATATCTAACACAATCTTCCATCAAGTTACATAGCAATTAGATCTGACACTTTCCCTTACCTTCTGATTGCTCCTGTGCTTGGGGTGGCATTGTAGCCTGGAGGGGGTGGAGGAAACCAGGACTGTCTGTTAAGAAATGACATCAGTTACAAACATGGTGCTTGAAAGGCCTGATCCACCTACATGCCTACCAGGAAAAGCTGAAAGTAATTTGGCAGTTAAAAATGCAATTGGCTGACTTCACCATTTCATAAATGCAATAGGAGATAACTGTCATATTTTCGGCTATCTTTTCCCTTTTCCCATTTTCTTTAATAATGTAACCATGACTGAAAAACATAGACATTTCTTTAAAAGGAAAACTGAAAAATAACACTTGCTAAATTGAGGTAGTAAGTTCATCCATGCTTATCATCAATACACCTTTTTGCATATCTGAAATATTTCATAATAAAAACAAACCTTATACTCTATTCAATATCTCTCTTTTTCTTTCCATTTTTCTGCATATCTGAAGTATTTCATAATAAAAATAACAAACTCTGTGCTCTAGTCTACCAACAAACTGTCAAAATATGGTTTGAAAAAACTGTGATCAAACTATGACAGTAAGAAAATGAAAATCACAGCAATGAGAAACTCAATTATATTTATACACACAATTAGAAATATGTCTTCACATTACAAGACATACTTTTAACTGACAAACATAACTAAAGCCTCTGTCAAAAAGACTAAGATAGAGACCAAACCGAGGCTGCTCCAAGGAGAGAGTTGTAGCTCAGAGAAGGAAACACTGAGATTAGGAGTTGGCTTTAAATTCCTGAAGCTGGTCTATTCTTTGAGGCACAACAGGACTGCATTAAGATGCAGTGAGAGTAAATCAAAGATTATTTCAATTTAATGTAAGCAGTGGATGCCAACCATGAGAACTAGTCTAAAGTGTATCACAAATGTGAGCCTTATTGCTGCTTCGGGGGAGTCCTCATTCCTGACCTGTCAGAGGGCACAATCTTCACTGGGTAGGAGAATGATCTAACTGACCTTAAATTTCTCTCCCAAACTTATGACTACTTCAAACAGACAAAGGATCAGGGGGATATGGAATTTGGGTCCAAGAGAAAGATGATCACATTTTCTGCTGATACAACCATAATTCTGACTACAGGAAAAATAGAATCAGCTATTTCTCTCCAGGAGAATCACAGCAACATTATCACCATCAACTGGTCCAGCAACAAATATTGAGTAACTTCCCTGTACTAGACATGGTCTGAGGTGATGGTAAAGAAATAAGAGCATTTAAAAAGCTCTAAAGTTTAAAATGTATATTTTGTTTCATTTGCATAATGATTCTCTAGCACTGTGTTTTCTCCGGCATGCAAACATCACTTCCCTATCACATTCTGCCTCAAGGATATTCTATCACAGGCTTAGCTCCTCTAATATGCCTGGCAGATAAATGGATCTCAGCACAGGCAGAAGAGGGGAGACATGCAGGGGAAGAAGGAGGAGGGGCCAGTAATCTCACGCGTGCATGGATCCATGCCTTGCAATATCTCCACCTACTTGAAAATAGGGCCCACCCGATCTACAGACACAGGAGACCACCACAATACAGGCTGTGTTCAGGAGCATGGCAGGTGACATAAGACTACACCACAGTCATCATTTCAGGTGAGAGCATTCCCTGCTGTAGAAGTTGATTAAAAGGTGCTACCTGAAGTAAATTGCCCTTTGGTATCAGGATGCTACTGAAGAAGGAAGCTAGGAAATGGGTATAGGAAGTCAGTTAGGAACAGGGTACCCCAAGCCCTGAAGTCCACTCATCAACCTGATTGAGAAACACTGTTGAAACCAGGAGGGCAACATGCCTCCCCTTCCCCATCCCCCAAAGCCCTGGGCCCATTTATCAGTTTGATTGGAAAGTTCAGAACACCAACACAATAACACAACACTAAAGCAATGAGCCAAGGCTAGTTGTGGGAAGGTAGGCTAGGGAACATAGGCAAACTCAAAGGGCCTGGGTATCCTAGGAGACCCCCATGGGCCCAGCCAATCAACAAGAGACACGATGCAGGGTCATCTAACAACCAAACCCCCACTCCTTGCCACTCCACCCATATAAGCACCTCCTTCTCGCCACGTCAGTGGCCACCGACCCCTTTCTGTTTGGAGAGCTTTCCTGTTCTTCCTATTCACCAATAAGTCTCTTGCTTTTCTGTAACTTTGATCTCGATGTTGAATTCTTTCCTAAGACAATAACTGACAAAGGCTCCTGGCCTGCTCCTCAAAACCCCAACTCACTATGGTGTCATCAAAAACATTGCTAGATATGCAAGCCTTAAGAGAATCAGAGCAAAGACTGCTTTTTTGGAAAGGATTGGGGGAAAGGACTTAAGTGTGAGGATCAGAATCCCTTCCTTGGGAAGGGAAGGATAGAACATGGAGGAAAGTCACAGCTACTTTTTTTTTTTTTAACTTAAAAGAACAGGTTTATTAAGAGAGGGACAGAAAAGTAAATTATACTTGCATAGACAAAAGCAGGCAGGAAGAGCTGCCCCAAAAGGGACAGTTTTGCTGAGAGAGAGGCCTGCATGGTGGCAGGCAAGCAGCCTTGAGGAGAGCTGCCTCTGCTGAGGGAGGTCAGTGAAGAGAAGTCCCGCATGGTTCAGGTCACGGGCAGGCAGGAAGCTGCTGCCCTGCAGAGGGACAGAGCTGGTGAAAGAAGCACCTGCAAAGTCACAGGTGGGCAGAAGGGAGTTCTGCCTACAGCTACTTCTTAACACTTTTGGGGGTGTTGGTGGATAATTTGGCTCAAAATTAATATATATAGATTAGTAAAATAAAAAAGAAATGAATACAATAATTCTTGCTTAATGGAATATCATCAAGAGGAATATCATCCACCCAATAAACCCATCATACCTCTTTTTCTTTACAGGAGTTGTAGCAGAGGTAGAAGTGTTGGTGGTGTTTGTACTGAGCAAACCTCCAGGTTGCCTATTTAATCACAAAAAAACAAATGATCACATTCCGGAAACTTTTTTTATTTTAGCCCACCTTTGAAATGTCTTATAGCCTATTCATATTCCTACCTGCTCTCTACCACAAAATGTTTCATTTGGAGAACAAAATAGTTGTTCCTTAGTTTACTCATTTTATAAACTATCAGATTCTCATCTCTTCTAAAACTGAAGGAAATGAATGAAGAAGTATGCTTGTAATCGGGCCTCCCCGGGGTGGCACAGGCAGTTTAGCACAGAGCTGTGAGGCTGTCCGCAGCCTCTGCAGCACAGGTTCAACCCCGGCTGGCCAGGGAGAATCCCACATAGCGCCGCAGACCTCTCCTGTCTCTCCCGCTGCTCCCCACAGCAGTGTATTTCAGTCAGTCTGCCTGTTCTGTTCCCCGCTCTGTCTCTGGTGAATCCTCTCATACTCCCACGCATCTGGCCTGTACCCCAGTTCTTGTACACATAAATAAATAAATCTTAAAAAAAAAAGGACGTATGCTTGTAATCCAGACCAATTCTGATGGGTTGTAGAGTGTGTGTAATCCTAAACATTGTGACGAACAGAATGATATTGCAGTTTTGTTGCGTTAAAAAGTACTAGCTTATTTAAGAAAACATTGAAAAATCACACCATTTTTAATTTTTCTTTTGCATTTGTTAATACACAGACCTCAAAAAAAAAAAAAAAAAAAAGAAGTGATCCATGTCTGTTTCAAGTACTGAAAATGGTGATCCTCTATGGAAATGACCTTATTTGTAAATACAAACTTAAAAACTGAATTTTCAAAAATCTACCTTGCTTAAAAAGCTTATAAATAGCAGCAGTAGCAGCAGTATATTCCAGAAAAATATATTTCATCTATGTAGATTGTTAGCAAATCCATGATTTTACAACTCAACTGAGTTTTAGATATGATGGGTGTTTTGTGGAGTAAGTGAAATGTAGAACAAGAATTAGTCGCCATAGGAATAGGGAGAAAAAAATCTGTGGGGAAAAATTTAAATAGTCTAGATTATAAGAAGAAAAAGAATCATTTATATTTTGGCATTTGGCTAGAGTGGAGCTCAACAAACCCTGAAATCTAGATATTAAATATTGAAACATTATGGATTATGTCAATATTTCTACAACTTAATTCTGTCTAACTAATGGGGACATAGCTGTATTACAATAAAAATTTGGCCTCAGAGCAATAAACCCAGGTTTTTCTTGAACACATACAAAGAAATACACTCGGTCCTTGACATACAACCCCAGTTAGAAAAGTACATACTTTTTTGTTGTTTCTGGTGATTTGAACGTGGACAAACTTCTGGTAAGGAAAAAAAAAAAAGTTTGAGCAGCACAAAAGAATAAATGCTTACATCTATTTACAATTGCCCATGAATTTAAAATAATAATAATAATACTTTATTATTATTATATTAGAAGTTAGACATTATTTGAGATAAAGTATTAGTATTTGGATAAATTTCATAAGGTGATTTATGATCATTTTATCTCTCACTCTAAATTCCTAGGGAAATTTTTTCCTTCAGAAAATCCAGTACCTTAAACTCAATGCTTTCATTTTTTGGGTTCGGTAATTTTCTTTAGCAACAAAAATAGAAAATTAGCATTTATGTGTATTTCATAATCTTACCACGAGGATAACTTAAACAGAAATATGAATATGGCAAGATTGAAGACTGGAAGTAATGAGATTTCTTAATTTTTAAGCTAGGCAATAAGATTTTATTTTTCTCTAATGATGAGCAGTATTTTTAAACCAGACAACAAAATTTTTTCTCTCTAATCAAGAGCAAGACTAAAAGTTTTCACCCTGAAGTTTTTAGTTAAAAAATAGAGAACAAGAAATTGTAGAATTGTAGAACAGTGTTAAGTAAGATTAAGAATTGTAAGTAAATAAGTAACGATTATAAAAATATCATACTTAAAACTTTCCCAAAGTTAGTAGATACTGGTACCTATTAGTTAGTCGGTTATCCAAGGTATTGGCCTTATATGTTTTAACAGCATCATTTCTGTCTGAGATCCTTTGTGAAGAAACAAGACAAAAGTCTAGATGAACATTAAAATTATTAAACTCCTTTCAGACCCCATTTGTGATACAATAACCTCACAACAGACTATTTCTCTAATACAGAGAACTGTTTCAGGTTTTATATTTCAGAAAATATTGCATTAATAAAAGCTACTTGTGACAAAGTCTATGAGGCTATTTCAATACAGTTTGCAATTTTTATTTTGCTTTCTCTTTTTCTGATAATTTCTTATAGAGGCACAATTGATATATAACATTATATTAGTTTCAGTTGTAGAACGTAATGATTCAACATTTAATACACTGCAAATAATAGCCAAAATAAGCCTAGTTAACATGTGGAATTTATGAATACAATTATGCTTTTCTACTATCCCTGACAACTCATCACGTAGTTAATCTGTTGACTATTTTGTGTTTGCTATTGTTTAAAAATATAGCTTGGCAATGACAGTACTTCCTATGTTACTAAAAGGCATCCAGTAGAAGACTTAAGTGATGATTTATAGCACGGACAATGTTTTATATTTGCCAGACTTGTTTTCTTTCAGAGCACACAGAGGCCATATTTCCCAATCTTCATTATAAGTTGATTGAGTTCTAGACTAAAAAATGTGGGCATAAATGTTGTTTGCCACGTCCAGACCCATTATAAATTCTCTTGCATGATTCTCCATGCTCTTTCTTCCCCTGCAACTGGGGTTTCACTATCCATGCATTGAAGACAGCAGCATTAAAACATGGAAAGAACTTAGGTCACTGAGTCACTTCCTGGAGCAGAGTTGTCCCCACTCTTTCCGTTAATCACAAAGGACTCTGATGAAAGCAAGCAGTAATCTATTGCACTAAGCCACCGAGATTTGGGGGTAAGATGGTAATTCATCAACAAAGTCATTCCACCCTGATAAAAAGTGTGATAATTTACTTTTGACTATCACCCTGAGTTAGTAGACTCTATTGGCCATCAGAGGTTTTAATCCCTCTAATTTCAGTTCTCTTCTTGGAGAGTAGGTGTGGGGAAGGTGTATTTGTCCCTTGGGTGAGACAATACAAATTAAGAATCCTGTAGCCTCCATGCCAGTAGTGGGGTCTCATGAGTGTAGTCCCTGTTCCTTCCCTTTTCTCCTTCACATGGGATGGGAATGTTCCTGAGATATGATGCAGTCTTCTGGAGTATTCTGCCATCTTGCACAAAACTAGGATGTTTTCCTGAGTTGCGCTCAGGAAAACAAAAGTTCAACAAACCTCTTCTCTTGAACCATCCCACACTATGTATCTACTAAAACCATAAACTTCTGCTCATACCAACAACGTTTGCACAGTGCTTTATGTAAACCATTCCTGTGAAGATGGGCACTGATTTTACCTCACACTAAAAAAAAAAAAAAAATCATGTGGGAAAAGATATGACTTAGTTGGCATAGGTTAAAAATAATTTCAATTCTAGATGTCATTTTGACAGGTAACTAACCTATTGAATAAATAGCTCTAATACATGAAATGTCTATGAGTCAATTCACAGAATTTCTGTTTATGCAACATAATGCCACAAACTAATAACCCTAGAATGCAAAAAGGAAGACTGTAATCCTCCAAATCTTCATATTCTCCACAGATGTTTCATAGTACAGGCAGTTACTTGTACCAAATCTGAGAATCCATGTATAAAAAACTCATATCTAGAGTGATAATCAGGCTAAAGACAATGAATATATACCCTGAATGTACTGCTTAGCTTCTAAGATGTTTATATCTTAAGGCTCTACAGTAAACCACTGTGATTACTATAAGTAAGATGTCAGGTAATCCTAAATCTTAAAGCTTAAATGTTCCTTGGAAACTCTGCTCAGACTTTACAGCTGTCTCTGAGATCCTTCTATATGATAAAGTTAATCTTGGGATATTGCAACTTTGGTATACTGAAAACAACAACCCATGTTAAGCAAACAGAACCTTAATATCAAATATTCTCAAGGGTTAAATATGAGTTCTGCTAAAATTAAATGAGGTTAATAAAAATACTAGATTGTAAATCTATGTGGACAATACTGCATGTAATAATAAAAGCAGCTACTTACTTTATGTGGGTCATTTTATACAATTTCCTTTACCCTTCAGAACATTTCCCTTCAAGGTAGGCACAATTGTTTATGTTTTGATGATGAAAACGTAATGATGAAGAAATGGAGTCTTGGAAAATGTGGGTGACTTTCTGCCATACAACTAGGAAGCAATCTGTCACCAAGGTCATTCTAGCAGGGCCCAATGTCATACAGCTGATCATGTAGTCTGACTGTACCCAACACTCATATAATAGGTCAACACGCCTTCCTTCAGCTATTACTCTTAACTTCCATTATCTCCTCTGTGCCAACAGGGGATAAGTTTATGAATAGTAATGAAGAGAGCTCTAAACAAGCATTCAATACAAACATTAATTTCTCATTTCTTAGGAAGATGGACTTTGTATGTCCCCTGAAAATGAAGATTCTGTCAACTTGTGTCAACTTGTAATATGAAATAGGTTGTTTTAAAAGGAGTCTTGGAAACAGGAAATACATAAACAATATAATAAGCAGTATGATTTTTAAAACACACACAAAGGAAAAATTACACTTCCACAACAGAACACTAGAGGTCTTCCTAACCTAGGTTTTCCAATTTAGTCTATATATCACAGGATTTGGGCCATCTCTGCAAGCTATGTCCACTATTATTATGTTTCTTTTGAATGTCTCATATTTTTATAGACATATGTATATTTTTAAAGTGAACTCTTCAAATGTAAATTCAGTTCTTGTCTCATATTCATTTCAAGTAAACGCATTATTGAAAAACACATAAAGCACACATGCACGAACACTGGTATAATCATTTTCCTCCTAAAATTATTTCACATCTGGCATTGGAGTGGCCTGCATGAGAGAGTCCGACGCTGCTAACAGGACTTTCTTTTCCTTACTGACCTCTGTGTCCTTTTCCTCACTTTTATTTCCACACAGAGAATTGTAGGCTACTGTTAGGAGGCAGGACAGCCTTGGGCATTAGCTGTCCAGGATATTTCTTCCAAACACGTCTATAAACCCCCGTGTAAATGAAGGACATGCTCCATGACCTTATTATCGACTGTATAAAAGACAGGTTTGGGCTAGATTTGGTGGTTTTGAATATTGTTGAAGATTAGAATCATTCCATAACCTTTAAAAAATGCCTGAGCCCCACCTCAAACTAATTAAATCATAATTTGGGAGGTGAAAGGTGGTGGGAACCAAGGCATCAGTAAATTTTAAAAGCTTGTGTGGTTATTATGATTTGCATTCAAGGTTGCAAATGACTCAAGTAGTTTGCCTGTGAGGTTGGTCCAGCCCTACCTTGATTTACTTGTTATAAACTTCCAGACAAACTGCACACAAAGCCTAGGTTTCCCACATATCTAACTTCCTTGAGGCTTAATTGTTTCACTTTTAAATTCATTCCTATAAATATAGAGTTTTGTTCTTCTGTTAATGGTGCAATATGACAACTCACAAAGCAAAGGCAAAAGGACAGAAGTTATTTTCACACCACTTTACACACATTTCCATGGAGATGAGAGCTTGTACAGACACTTGAACAAACTCATTTTTGTTAAGGCTATTAATTACTCTAATGCCAAAAAGGTTTTACTTTCTTTTTTTTAAATTTATTTATTTATTTATACAAGCACTGGGTACAGTCAGAAGCGCGGGAGGGTGAGAGAATTCACCAGAGCCAGAGGGGAGAGCAGAGCAGGCAGACTGACGAAGTACACTGCTGAGGGGAGCAGCGGGCAGCAGGAGAGGTCTGCGCACCATGTGGGACCCTCACCCCGGGGCTGGGGATTGAACCGGCACTGCAGAGGCTGCGGGCAGCTTCGCAACCCAGCTCAACCGCTGCGCCACCGAGGAGGCCCAAAAGGTTTTACTTTCTAAAGCAAAGAGCTAATGTCTTTATCTTAGGATGGATCAAAAATACTATGTTATTAAAATATACAGTGTCTTCATAAAGTAGTTGTGCAGAAATTGTTGTTTCTCCACACTTGCAACAGAAGAGTGAAAAGATAGAATAGAACAAAGACTTACTACTCACTTTGACAAAAATAACTACATCCTCCACTTAAATTGCACAAGTTCTATGCAATGTCCACCTTATCTATACTCAAACCTGTTTCTTTAGAATTTTTCATATCAATCTATTTGTAGCAGAATTTTAGGGAAATAGTGTATTAAGTCAAAATTTTATAAGTTTGGAAAAAAAGATACTTCAATCCTTATAGCCCGTCTGTGCCTGGTAATAAAGTCATGGTTCATGGCAAAGTTTGGTAAACACTTAAATATTTCCAGTTTTATAAGTAAAATTTAATACATGTTGTCCATTCTGATTACATGGTTCAAATGTACCTTACCTGTCCAAAGTGTCATCAGATCTGTACCGACTAAGTGTGGCTTTTGGCTCATCTAGCCCATTTGTTTTCCTATAGCAAAAATAATAATAACAATTACAGGAAGATCAAACAAAAAATAGTTTATAAAACCTATAATGAATGAATCTGGCAAAATTCTGGCCTGTTTAGGTAGGAGATGCACATGTTGTGAAGAAAAAATGGATTTGGATATCCAAATCTTTCAAAGTTTTGACTTGGATAGAATAAATTATGGCACACCCAATTCCCCATGTTCATAAAGCAATTTCTTCTCTGGCTACAATTCTTTCTAACTACAATGAAACATATTAAATTGGGGATAAATACATTTAAGAAATAACACAACATGCAAAGTGGCTAATAACTAATATATACTTTTGTCAATGTTGCTGATTTTTACATAGTAGGAACTCACAATCAGCTATGTTATTGGCAGTTTTAGCAGGGCCATAAGGCAATATAACTGGCTAACTACAAATTGCTTTATTTGAAGTTCAGCACCGTGGACAGGGTTGAAAGAAAAGAACTTGAAGCAGGAGGGAGGGGGGAGGGAAAAAAGAGAGGGAAACAAGAAAAGATGAAAAGAAGGTGGGAGCAAAGAAAGAGGTTAGCTACTGGGAGGAGAAAATGAGAAGGCTGATAAAATAGGGAGAGGTGAGGCATAAAGCAAAGAGTTGTGGAAGACAGATAAACAGAAAAAGAGGACAAGACAGTAAGAGACTAGAAAGAACAGAAATCATGATCACAGAAGCGGTGGAACTATCCTGATCAATCCTGATCAAAAAGTCCACGTAATGCCTATGTACTCAGTGATAAAGGGACAGCAATCCCTTTGGGGAATTACATGATGATTTACTGTGATTGCATTTCAAAGCAGTTTTAAAGTTGACAGATCAAAGATATTGAACTAGAGAATATACTAAACCAGAATGTTTAATATTTAATTTCAACTTGATGTAGTATATTTTTATTAAGCAAATATTTGGGAGGTAAACCACATGCAAAGTACTATGCTAGTGACTATGAGGAAATTGTGAATGAAATAAATATGGACACTTTTCACCCAGAGCTAGAGAGACAAATTACACACATACATCCTACCATATAAAGTGGTTCTTAGTATGAAAGAAGTTCAAGTAAAGTGCAACTTCTAAGTTGAGAAGGCTTATTTTTGGATCAGAATCAGAGACTTTATGAATGAAGTTTGTGCTGGGATTTGGCAGAGAAGTAAATGTTAATATTTTCAAACAGAGGTAGAGGGAATAATGCCAGTTAAAGCAAGGAAAATGTGAAGAAAAATGTCTAATGTAATTCACCAACTTAAGAAAACAGAGAAATCAGGTTGATCCATCATGGTTACTGTGTGAATGCAAGCGGACCATTGTGAAAACCAAGGAAAAGCCACAGGTAGTCTGCAGAGTCACAGCCTGGCTGAAAATTGCAAAGTCAATTGGATACTTTATGCAGAGGGCTCTAACACTTATAGAACAGATCAAAGTAATCATCAAGTTGAAAAGGATTTAGACAAATTCATAGATTAAGGTTTCTTTTTTATTTTTTAAAAAGATTTATGTATTTATGCATATAAGAACTGGGGTGTAGGCCAGAGGTGCAGGGGGGTGAGAGGATTCACCAGAGAGAGAGTGGGGAGCAGAACAGGCAAATTGACTGAAATATACTGCTGAAGGGGGCAGCGGGTTAGACAGGAGAGGTCTGCTGCACCGTGATCTAACTTGTGCTGCAGTGGCTGTTGATAGCTTCATAGTGCTGAGACTTAACCCTTTGCACCACCAGGGATACCCTAGATTAAGGTTTCTAAAACAGACAGACTCAACAAGTCTGCTTTAAAGAACACACAATGAAAGGCTATCACACTTCTGTACTAAGTACCTCTTATAATAGACACAGGATAGAGGGCCAGATAAAAACTTGGGTCTAATAAATAATTAGGTTCTTCTGATGGGTGTGGTTGTTTGTATGTGTATGAGTGTAAATGTATTCTAATGAGAATATTATCTATTTATTTGATTACTCAGATTATTTACATCATTGTGATTACCAGTTTTGTCTATATTTTCTACTAACACTAATTGGCCTTTGTCGTTCTATTTGCTGTTGAGTATAATTTAGTAGTTTTCCACAAGCCTAGGAGCTTTTAAATGCACCATAAAGCAAGTATTACTGGAGCTGTTATTTCTGTATTGTAGGGTTCCTTTCTTCAAGGTTCAGAGATATATTATCTGGTCACATTTCCCATCAGGAGGGACACCTCAGTGGGAAGGCAGAGGATAGGTTATTGTGTAGCTCTGGAAACAATGTATCTAGAGAACCACAAATTTTGTCCTGTGGAAATTCATGATGTTATCAGATTTTCCTTCATGTGCCCAGAACATCAGGGAATGCCTGAGGCTAGCCACAAATATTCAGCCTGTCTTGAACAAGTCTTCTCTCAAAACTACTGTCTTTGTGTTTCTGCTAATGATGTAATTTGTCTGAAACACCCACCTGTCCAAAGCATCATGGGAATTATGTCGGTTGAGCACCACCCTACCATAATTTTCATCGCTGCAGAAAAAGAACAAAATTAAATCACATGAAGAGTTACTAAAGTAATTAGTAAGCACTAACTAAGGGAAATAAGGGAAGGAACCCTTAATTTTTGATAAGATTAATTCATTGCACTTCAGGCATAGAAAAACAACCATGTATTTATTTTAACCAGTCACCACCTGAAAGAGCATGGTGAAAAGAAACAGGTTTGTCAGAACAAATTATCAATATTCTAATTTATTCCAAGAGATTTCCATGTTATTTAACAATGGGATGAGTGTTTGTTGTTTTGTTTTCTCATCAAAGTATGGAAACAATTGTCCATTTACCTTGTATATACTAGAAGAGTTTTTTCTTCAGGAAATCAAAAGCTTCCCGAAAATGTTTTAAAATGTCTGGACACTTTCATTTCATGGACTTGATAAGTTTTTCTTGAAAAAAATGTAGGAAAATCAGCACCAATATTTGTAGTTAAGGAGGCTGATTATTCACAAGAGATTTAGCTGATTTTTGACCCAATGAACACATAGTTGACTCTGTTTGGTCCTTAAAATAATTCTGTGAATTACACAGGGAAGAAACTATAATATTAAATTCACAGATCAGGGAATTAATGATGAATTTTGTGGTTGTCTAAAAACCAAAGATTTAAAAAATAATGAAGAGAGTCTAGGGTCCAGATCTTTTTATTCCAGATGTTCACATTTCATATTGGTCATCCCTGCAATAGACCTTCATACATAAAACCTCAAAGTCATGTTGTTCTTACTTTATACTGTGGATCTGAAAGTACAGGCAGCTTTGGGAAATGTCAAAACATGTAGTAGAGCCTTTGGCCTTGAGTCAAGGCAGACAGTAATTGCCTGAATTTTTTTTTTTTTTTTAAGTCAACCCAACCAAACCTGAAATACCACATTTATCTGGGTTCTGCTCCAAAACATTACCCAACACTCTGGAACCATTTATAATAAAGCTGTAAAAGAATTATAGTAGACAATTAAAAATAAAGATGAACTGTGAAACAGCAATACTTATAACAAATAGACACCCTCAAGGATCCCAAGAGAAATTTCCTTCTCTCTTGGAATCCCTTCCCTAAACTTGTAGGAGAATATTGGACAAAAGACACAGTCTTACTTGAAGAAGAATCATAACACATAGCACAGAACTGGATCAGTAGGGTTGGGGGAAACTCCAGAGTCAGTTTTCCCTCCATTCAGCAGCTGCCATGTCATCTAGACTGGCTTTCCTGGATCATTTTAAAGAGGCATGCCTGGCATCAAACCATCAGTCTTAACAATGGTAATTTGTTTCAGACATCTGTATATTTACCCATCTGTGCAAATATTTGTAACCCAAACCTTATGATCTACATTTGACCTCATTTTATCACAATGGAAATACAGAAATGGTATATTAGGCTCTGAGGGAAGCGGTAAATGTAGCTTCAGTGCAGGAAATGATTGTTGTCCAAGAATATTGACTTGTAAAGTTAGTGTGAATCTTTAAATATCCCTTTAATCTCTTAAAACAAGAAGATTTAGTGCAGAAATTAAGTGAAATTTTTATTTAACAGGTACAAGTATGTTCCTTAAATAATCATGAATGGACATAGTGGAGAAACTTGTAATGTAGGATTTCTCTGCTTCAGCCCTATTGACTTTATAGATTTGAAAGGCTTTTTTTGTTATGGAGAGTGTTCTCCGCATTGTAGTATGTTCAGCAATATCCCTATTCTCTACCCTCCAGATGTCAGGAGTATTCCTCAGTTTTGACAACTGAAAATGTCTCCCAACATTGCCAAATGCCCACTGAGAGCAAGATTAAGAACCACTGATTAAGAACCACTGGTTAATGGAAAAGACAATTAGACATGTTAAAATCTCCATCAACTAATAACTCAGTGCAACTGGACAAGGTACTTAACTTCTCTGAGCCTCTGATTCCTCATCTGTGAAATAAAGATATAACCCGAACCTTGTGTGGTTTTTGGATTTAGTAATGTTTAAATGTAAAGTGCCTAATATCAATCCTAATACACAAAAGGAAATTTTTTTCTTTTTTCTTTTTTTTTCTTTTATATATTTTTTACATCATTTTTCATTTTTGCACAATGCATGCATTTTCATCTTGGTTATAGTCCCCATACAATCCCCACCCCCCTTATTTTGACCCTAATCCCTCCTACCCTCCCCGGCCCCCCGTAGTGTGTCTCTGGTTTATAGTTGCTTGTTGATTTTGATTTTTACTTTATTATTATTAGTCTTTTTCCTGCTCCCTTATTTAGGTTTTCTAAATTCCTGCTATGAGTGAGACCATCCGGTATTTTTCTTTTTCTTTCTGGCTTATTTCGCTGAGCATGATCTCTTCCAGCTCCATCCATGTTGCTGCTAATTGCATGAGTTTATCTTTTCATAAAAGGAAATTTTAAATATTTATCCATATGTATATAAATATATATCTGGACTGGACTAATGTCTGTTACAAATATCTATTATCAATGGGGTTACATGCCTATGTTTGTCATTTTCACCTTTTTAAATATATTGCTGGCAGAAGCAAGGCTCAAAGCAGAAAACAGTTTCTTGGTAGTAAATCTTTTCCCTTACAAACTAACACCACATTTACCACCTTTGTAATTGCTCAAGGTATATGGCCAATGGCGTTCAAGTGAGTTGGGAATTTATCCATTTCACTTGTGCATGTGGAAAGTTTAGATAACTTACTATTAAATTTGTAAGTTACGTGTTTGTTTCAACAGAGATGATCAGTATCATTAGGAAAGTCCCTACCAAGGAGTAAATATGACTTTTTGGAAACTGGAAAGTTATCTTTGTTGTCAGTTTATCAAGTAAGCACCAATGTCTATTCTACTCGTAAGAATTAAACCCGCTTTCTCTAATGACTCACATTTTCTTTAGTAAGTGAATATTAAAAACAGTAGCGATATTCTTAAAAATCAGATGTAGCCAATTTATGCTTACTAAAACTTACCAAAAATTAAACCATGCAACAAAGCGTTTTGGAAAGAAAATATTCACTTTCCACTTGGTTGTTAGTTTCCCAAATAGAGAATGACTCTCTCTTCTCATCCACCCACTCCATCTCTCCACACCCACTTACCGTTCTTCTTCAGGAAGCTTCTTTATCCAGCTGTTATCCTGTAAAAAGGCTCTTCTTTTGTTCAACTCGTAAAAACCCTGCTGCCTCAGTGTGGTCCCCCGAGTGGTACTCTTCATATCTATCCACAGGAAAGTGAAAAATCAGGAGAAGTAATTACCTAGACTTGAGTGTGTGTTTGTTGACTTGGAACTCTTGAGAGGTACCTTTGATTGGCCAGCATCAATCTTCAAGACTGGCAAGTGAGTACTGTTTTAAAGTAGGATGTCCCGGCAAGAAAGAACAAATCCCACACCCCATCATCAAAGATAACATATAAAACTGCACAGGTGCCAACTGAAACTGCCAATGCAGCTCATGAGGCCCCGTCTGGCTCCACGGGTCTGGGATAAACCAAGCCAGGGTTTTGTGGGTTGCCATTTCACTCAGAGAATTATGGCTCAGAAATACACACAGAAATGTTTTCAAAGGGCCTGGTAAACAATAGCCACAAGCCCTGGTGCTTTTGATTATGAAACACTCAATTATTTGATTGCATGGGAGCCAGAAACAAAAGTTCACACAAAGAAAGGACATTTTGATCGATTTTTAAAAGAAATCTTCATGCGTAAAAACTGAAACACTTTTTTCTTAAGCCTGAGTTAAGCAATGCTAATTAAATCAGACTGTGACCTCTAAGCATATCTAAATTATAAAATTAGGAAGTGTGAGTTGTTTTACCACATCTTTAACTTTTTTGGAGAAAGGGAAACATCATCAACGTTACCATTAGCTGTGGGAGGTGTTTTCCTCAAAGTGAAACTGGACATGCTGCCTCCCGTGAGGATCTAAAAGAAAAATGTGGTGGAGAGAACAGACCATTGACTCTGAGAATCTATAGGTGACTTTTGTGGCTAATGAGACATATTTTAAAATACTTTGACCAAGTCACATGATATGGTATAAAGAATATACGACATCATTCCACTCTATTTTACAGAAGAAACGCCCAAGGCAGTGGGTGTCCCCAGTGTTACATAACAAGCAACTGGCTGAACCAGGCCATCAATTAATTCATTTATTCAATCGATAAATAATCACTGAGTACCTATGGCATATCTGATGCTGAGCCAGAGCTGATAATAAAAACTTGAGGATGACAAATTTTGTCAATTTGGTCAGAGCCACAGGGAGACAGAGATATAGGACAGTCCACAGGATATATTCACAAAACTCCCCTAAGAACGGCTCAGCAGTCCCTCCTCTGGAGAAGCCAAAGTGAGACCAGGCATCTTATGTGGGATTAGAAAAGAAGCAGTCAGAGGCATGGAAATCACAAGCCTGGGGAAATACTGGTGATTTTAGGCAACTACTGCATGGGAAAGCCCCAAGTTTCCTAGCCTTGATCAATTACCACAGTTACCTAGTTAGGGAGTTAAGACACTGTGTATTTCTAGTTTGGCTGGAACTGATTAGTTTTCCAGAACTGCATAAGGACTTTGCCAGTTGTAATGCAATCATCCCAGACCAGGCAGGTTCATCATCGGATCAAGCAGCATCTTTGTTGTCTTAGCTGTTCTCATGACGTTCCCCACTGTACTTCGCCATACTTCGCCATACTTCACACCACTCCACACCACACCACTCCACGACACTTTTCTGCTGCTGCTTGTTCTTCTGTTTCTGCTACTTGTTCTGCTGGTGTTCCCATGACGCCACCCTTATAAGACTTGTCTCAGCCCAGGTGTGCCCACCTATGCATGCCCACACCCTGCTCAGGTGCCTGCCATCAGGCATGCATGTAGGACCATAGGGATAGATCATTAATGCTAATAGCGGGAGGGTAGAAAATCCTGATAATTTTCACTTACCCTACATCAGTCCTGAGTACTTTTGCTTTCAAGAGCCTCTTCCTTCATGAATACACACTGAAAATTATATTTTATGACTACTTCAGTATAAAGATGAATATAATATAGCTGGTTCCTTTATTACATACTCTTCACTTATTATTATTACTATTATTATTATATTCGTCCTTTTCTTTTGATATCTAAAGGAATTGAAATCGGAGCATTTGTGGGCCACTAACGGTATCTTGCACTATAAATGCTGACTTTTCTGCTTAAAGGATAAATCGGACTTGGGTCTCCTTGAATGTGGGACTTTCAGCTTTAAAATGGAAAAGTTCAGGCAAACAGAAGTGGTAGGTCACCCTGTTTTTGCAGAGTTCATCCAACCAGTGTACGGAGTGCTGCAGGGGCTTAGGTCTCAAGTCAGAAGCAAGTTCCAGGCCAGGTTTCTCACATCCAAGTTATTTAATGGAACCATTTAACCTCCCTGTAAAATAGGGCTAATAAAACCTGCGCCGTACTTCATAAGGTTGTGATTATCAACTGAATAATATATATAAAAATCACTTTGTTAAACTACAAGTGTGGTTCACACTTAAAGCAGTATTATCTGAGAGTTGTTTATAGGTATAGGTATGACAGGTATAATTTGAGGCCCCATCTAAAAGTCCTATCTCCAGCTCTCTGATACAAAGGAATCTCCTAATTACTTGCCATAAGATCTTAAGTGCTAAAGAAACATTCCTTTGGATCAAGGTATTGTTTTTCCAGAGTCTTCTTTTAGAATGTCAGCTGTAAAGTAAGTGATTTTCAGGTTTTTCTGCCCTCCCACCATTAGGATTGATGATGGATACTTGTGGTCCTGCATGCATGCCTGATGGTGGACACCTGGAGTAGGGTGTGGGCATGTGTAAGTGGGTACACCTGGGCTAAGACTGGGCTTATAAGGATGGCGTCATGGAGACACCAGGAGAGCAGAGAAGCAGAGAGAATGAGAGGGAAAGAGAAGCAGAGACTGCCAGAGAACGCCAGAGAGCCCAGAAAGAGTGAAGACTTGCTGTGGGCTGGAGGCTGACAGGCACCCCTGCCTGCTGTGTACCCAGTAAAATCCCAATAAAAGCCTGAAAAGCCCCTGAGGGCTCCAGGACTCTTCCTTCACCTGTCTGCTCAGATCATGGAAAACCTGCACTGTACCCATTCCTGCCATTACACAACATTTCCAAAGTAGGCGAAAAGTAGTCTTGACACCCAGACAAGGTCCCCTTTACCAGCTTGGTGCTTGGCACTATGGGCTCAGGCTTATGCCTGCTCCGGGCATTGCCCTTAGCTGGTGGGACTGCCTGGTTGCACATCCCCATCTACAACTTAAAACCAGAGACAGACAGATCTGGGATAAAAAAGCTGAGTCCCTTGCCTCAAGGAAGAGTCAATTCTAAGTAAGTTATGCCTCACAGCTCACAGGGGTATGAAATCAAAGGTAGGCCAGAAGAGAACACATCCTTTCTCAGTAACTTCCCCTGCTCCCTTTTCTACTTCCCTTCTCCAGAAAGCACACCCTGCATAAGTCATAAGCACCCACCTCTTCTAGGGAAGCCAGGCTAAGACTGGCAACCAACCAGTGAAACCAACCATGATAATCAATTATTATAGTCACAGTGACCAGCAGCTGTTCATTCCAATTACAGCTGAGAGCCTGAAGGTTTTAGTGAAGTTTAGAAGGATCTGCATTGCATGGAGAGTCCTCAAGGAGTTAAAAGTAGAAAGTCTATACAATCCAGTTCTCTCACTTCTGGATATTTACCTCACAAATACAAAAACTCTAATTCAAAGAGAAAGATGCCCACACATGTTCACAGCAACTTTATTTATAATAGCCAAGCGCTAGAAACAACTTACGTGCACATTGAGAGATGATTGGATAAGGAAGTGGTATATACACAATGGAATACTACTCAGCTGCATAGATTAGATGCATACAATATATTATATATATAAAAAAAATCCTGCTATTTGCAACAATATGGATGATGTAGAGGGTATTAAGCTTAGTGAAAAAACTTAGATGGAGAAAAACAAACACTGTGTATTTCATTCATACATGGTACATAGAAAAAGCAAACAAATAAACTCAATAAAACAAAAATAAACATTTAAACAGTAAGGCCAAATAATTGGTTACCAATATGGAAAGGAGAAGATGGGAGAGTAAATCAGGTTAAAGGGGTCAATTGCATGGCAAAGGATAGAAGTGGACTTTTAGTCAGATTAGATGACATATGCAAAGTAGCTAATTATCACCCTACACGCAGTATATGTGATAATTCTAGATGTGATAATTCTATGCCTCTTTGGCCTTTGAAAGTGGAAAGCAGAGGTAGGAGAGGTGTTGCATGTGGGGAGGAAACATGCAGCCTTGAGTTTGCACTCCTGTGCACACAGGGAGTGTGGTACTGGGCCTGGGTAGTTGTTTTTGGAGATTGCTAACACATTAAAAAAAAAAAGGGGAGGCAAAGAAATATCATTTCTCAGCTACTATTGATTTTGCCTCAACCTGGCCCTGCTTCTCTGAATTCTTGGTTAATCTATTTCCCAGCTCTGGTAAATTCTTCTCTGAGCCTGTGACCTAAAGAATTCCCATCTCACTGAATTGAGATTCTGAGGTGGTCAAAATGCTGAATGTGTGTCTGATGGTGCATTTCTAGAATTTACATATTTAACCATGATCAAAGGGGCATGTTTCATGGAGAATTATCTGCTTTTTGTCTGTGTCACCCAAAAGGCAAGGTATGTCCTGTGGGTGAGGCCCGAATCTCCTTCTGGGGTCCCAGTTCTGGGATACAGTAAGTGTTGCCTAGGTGCCTGTGATTAATTGACTTGTGTCTTCCCCAGTTCAAAACAAAATTCATATGGTGAGATCCTAATCTCCATTACTGCAGAATTTGACTGTACTTGGAGACTGGGCCTTTAAAGTGATTAAGCTACAGTGAGGCTGTTGGAGTGGGTCCAATCTGACTAGTGACCATGGAGGAGGAGGCAATTGGACACACAGAGACATCAGGGTGTGCTTGCCTAGTGAAATGGTCATGTGAGTTCACAGAGAGGTCACCTGTGAGTCAAGGAGAGGGGCCTCAGGAGATATCAAATCTGATGACACCTTGGTCTTGGACTTTTAGCCTCAGGAACTGTGAGACAACACATTAATGTAGTTTAAGTTAACCAGCCTGTGGCAATGTGTTATGGCAGCTCTAGCAAACTGTTACCAGACTAATGAAAATGGTTTTTCAAAGAGCTGTGTGCCACGCTATCTCTGACCTGTGCCTTACATGTCTGTAATTGTTCTACTGCTCTACTCAAGAGGGCAATTGCTAAAATCACTTCCAATACAGAGTTTTGTAGGAAAATATTAGTTCAGTACCTGCTCTGAATACGTCATAGGCATTGTGTTTTGTCCTTGAATAAACTGAAGAAGGTGGGCCTCCCCAGTGGCGCAGCGGTTGAGTGCTGGGTTGCGAAGCTGCCCGCAGCTTCTGCAGCACTGGTTTGATCCCCGGCTGCCAGGCGAGGGTCCCACATGGCGTGTAGACCTCTCCTGCCGCCTGCTGCTCCCCTCGACAGTGTACTTCATCAGTCTGCCTGCTCTGCTCTCTGCTCTGACTCTGGAGAATTCTCTCACCCTCCCGCGCTTCTGACTGTACTCAGTGCTTGTATAATAAATGAATCTTAAAAAATTAAAAAATAAACTGAACAAGGTAACTATGTTTACTTCCATCTCTCAGCTAAGACAACTAGAGCATAGACAGAGTATGGAATATGCCCAAGGTTCTAGGAGGCAGAATCTGGCTTCTAAACCAAGCCAGATTTCTTCAGCAACCATTAATGAAGCTCGTCAAGAGTCATTACAAGACTAGTGCCCTTGCTTTAGAATGAGAGAGGGCAGGTAGACAGCAGGGGTCCACTTGACTCTTAACAACTCACTGAAAGTCCCATGAGCTCTG